ACCACGTGGGAGCCCGAGGGCAGCCAGGGGAGCTGGCGAGGGCCTGCCCGCCAGCCCCATCCATGCCCTGCCTGCTCTCTCTCAGCGTCACCCCTCCCCACGTGCTCCCCCGTCGCCCCTCCTGCAGGTAGCAGCCCCTGGTCTCTCCTGAGTGCCGCCCACCCTGTCGTACCAGCAGGCCTGACCCTGAGGCCGCCCCGCCTAACACCCTTCCGGCTCACCCCCTGCCCACGTCGTCCCTGCAGTTCCTGCTTCCCCGGACCCCTGCCCCCTCCTCTGCAGGCCAGGGAGCGGTACACCCCACCCCTCACCTCTCTCTGCCGCCCTACTCTGCGGGTTTGGAAGGACTGGCTGGTCCCCGTGAACCCAGAAAGCTGCCTGGCCGCTGGGGCACTCCGGGGGGCGGTGGTGTGTGAACTGGGCCTCGAGGGAGCTGGGCCCCTGCTTCCTGCTGGGCCAGGTCAGGCATCGGACAGACTGAACCCAGCGAAGAGCTGGGGCAGGGGACGGACCTTCGCTGCGCGAGGCCGGGCAGGAGGCCAGCTCACGTCTGCCCTGACGTCCTGTCCGAGGCCTTGCAGGAGCGGAGCCCAGAGCAGCCGGCATCTTCCTCCACTTTGATCTTGAACCCGCCCGCCCAAACCCGCCCCTGCCTTGTCCTGGGACTCAGGCCAGTGACGGAAGCAAGGAGAGCCCAGCTGTGGGCACCCTTCTCCCCACGGGCAGCTGCTCTCTGGCTGCTCTGACGGGAAGTTTGCAGGAGGTGGCGGGGGGTTGGGGGTGGGGTGAAGGCACAGGGGGTGGCCTGACCCAGACACCGTGGAACTGCCGGCTCACACGGTTCAGTCCGCTTTGCTTTCCTAGTCTCAGTCTCAAACCGCCTCTTCCAGGCAGCCTTCCTTGCTTAATCCTTTCGTTCCTAACACACACTTGGTTTAAGCATTTTGTTTCCTTGGCAAATGGGGGTATTTGGTGTCAGCCGGGGGGAGGGGGGGATGTCCCTGGTCGTGAGGACCCCTCTACGACATTCTAGAGACTCGCTTGCTTGCCCACGACCATTGATAATGAAAGTAATAATGATGCTATTTTTTTTTGAGATGCCATTTATCAAACACTGTGCTAAGTGCTTCGTATTCAATGACCTCATTTAATCTTGGCAACAAGCAGGTGAGGTGGGCCTTGTTGCAAATGGGGAAACTGAGGCTGAGGGGAACCGGGGGAATTTGGGGAGCTTGCCTCTAGCCCTGAAGGAAAAACGGAGCCCCATGCCTGCCTGGCTCCCAGGCCCGTGTCTGCACCTGGACACCTGAACCTCTCTGCCCGCCCCTTCCTCAGCCTCCTGCTCCTTTTTCTGCCTTTTTTACTTTCCCAAGATCTGTCCAGTGTAGCCAGCCTCTGACTTAACTCAGCCAGCGGGGTGAGGCTGCCGTTCCCAGTCAGAGGTGAGGAAACCGGGGCGCTGGCCGGGAAGGCAGGCGGGGCCCCCCTGTGGCAGACGGCCCGTCCCCGCCGGCCCGCGTGGCTCAGCCAGCTTTGTTAACCAGCTCATCAGCTCCCCGGCAGCCAGATTCACACCGGGGCTCCCTGCCCACTCGGCAGGACCGTCCTGCCCACATACCTGGCCCCGCTCTCCCGGGCTCCTGGGCCAAGGCCCTGCGGTGGCCGCGCCCAGCCCAGCGCTCCCCTAACTACAATCGCAGCTCGCTGCAGGGGTAGGAGGTGCACGGGGCCTATAAAGGCTCTTTAAAAGGGGCAATAAAAGTTTTGGGTTTCAGATGGTCCTACTGGAGAAGGGAATAACAGAGACAGGAAATTTCAGTAGCAGACAGACAAAGGCCGCAGCGCAGACGGCCCTCAGACGAAAACACCTCGGCTGCAATCGGAGGATCCTGGCGGGGGCCCAGGGCTCCCCGCGCCCTGCCAGCCTCGCCCGCGGCCTGGGGGAGGCGGAGGGGCCGCTACAATAGACTGTTTTGTCTCCTGTTGTAAATGTTTATAATCCTTCTCCGCTTGGGCTGCCGGAGGTGTAGGAGGGGCGTGCTGGGCACCGGCGCACGGCGGCCAGGCCAGGGCAGCGGCGGCTCTGCTCCTGTCCGCAGGGTCCCGACCAGGCCCGGGCCCAGGGGCGCCGTTGCAGGGACTATGCCCGCTCCCCCGGTCAGACAAGATCCACGGGGTGAGGACACCACCCTGCCCCCACACCCCTGGCCGTGTCCTGGCGGGAGGCCACAGCCAGAGCTGGGCCCTGCGGCACCTCGGCCTGGGTCGCTGGCTTTAACCCTGGGTCCCTGACCACGTGTCCCTCCGTTTGTCTCCTGCAGCTGTGACCTCTGCCTGCTGGCCACGGGAGGGCTGCCCGGTGGAATACAGGAGCCGGTGCCACTGCGTTTCAGGTGCCCGTGTGCCCTGGTCATCATCTGAAGTTCAAAACAACTGTGCCTCTGCCCTAGCCGATGTGGCTCAGTGGACAGGGCGCCAGCCTGCGGACCGAAGGGTCCCGGGTTCGATTCCAGCCAAGGGCACATGCCCGGGTTATGGCTCAATCCCAGTAGGGAGCATGCAGGAGGCAGCCCATCAAGGATTCTCTCTCATCATTGATGTTTCTCTCTCCCCCCTCTCCCTTCCTCTCTGAAATAAAATTTTTTAAAAATATTTAAAAAACACACAAAAACACACACACACACACATCTTATACGTCACCTGCAACCCACACGTGTGTGAATTTAAATCTAAATCGTTAAAAGCAACACACGTGTAAACACTCGGCTCCTCCGTGGCGCAGCCACGCTCCCGCGGCTCCGGGCCTTGCGGGCTGTACTGGACGCCCGCGTCCCTGCACGTCCGCCATCAAAGCCAGCGCTCAGCGGGCGCTGCCCGGGGCGGTCAGGCCGAGGCTGTGTCTCGGTCTCAGGGGTCCCCAGGCCCCCATCGGGCTGGTGGGAGGAGGGCCTCTCCGAGCCTGAGGTGGTCGGGTGGCCGCCAGGTGCCGTGCGTCTCAGATTCCAGGGACAGGAAGACCCCGGGGATGACGCCAGGGTTCAGAGCTGTTTCAGTCTGGAGGCCTGACCCTTCCTCCTGGTGAGGCCTGAGGTATCGGGGTGGCCATCCTGGGTGGCCTCCTGCTTTCCGGTCCCCCTCCCTCCCCGGCGCTCCCCTCCTGGCCCGGGCAGAGCCCCGCGATGTCGGAGTGGAGCTGGGAGCCAGCGGAGCGTGCCTTAGGGATGACTGGCAAGGCCCTGGCACGGCCGCCCGCTCAACGGCCAGCGGCCAGGGAACGAGGGCCAGCTGCTGCCACGCCGGCCTCGGTGTCTTCGCCTGCAGCGTGGGCTCAGGACCCCCACCCAGGCGCTCCCAGGGGTCCCCGTGGGACCAGCCCTGCCCGGGAGGGGCGGCCTGAGGAGGGGCGGGCGGGCTGAGGGCTGGAGCGCACCTCCTAATTGTCCGTGACTTACAGACCTGGCGGGGCGCCCAGACAGCCCCATAAATCAGCGCGGCCACAGGAGCGGCCTGAGTGCCGCCCTCGCGCTTGGCAGGCCCGCGCCTCCTGCCTGGGAGCACCCTGCCGCTTCCAACTTTCCAGGCGCTGCCACGGGTGGGAGCTGGGCGGCTCCGGGGCGGGGGGGGGGGGTAGGGGGGGAGGGGGAGGATGGGCAGGGTCCGGCCACCTTGCAGATGCCAGTTTCCGGACCCACGTCCCTTGGTTCTCCCCCCGTGGCCCCAGGCTCTCCCCTGTCCTTACAGCCTATGAGTGTCCCCTGGCCAGAGGGCAGGCTCTTCATGGTGTGTGCATGTCTGTGCACATGGACATGCATGTGCACATATGTGTGTATGCACATGTACACGTGTGTGTGCACCCCCCCAATCAGACCTGCAGCCAATGGGGGCAGCCCCTGCCCTCCCCTCCTCCCTGGGGCACAGCAGGGTGGGAGAGGGACCCTGCTGTGTCCTGTGCCTTCGCCCCGGGATGGGGACCCGCCTGGTGGATGGCCCCGAGCGCCGAGCGCAGAGCTGAGTGGCGGCCCCGACCCTAACGGGCTGTGGGGACAGACAGGTGCTGAGCGGGGGCCAGGCCGTGGGCGTCCAGCGACCTCTGGGCAGTCAGGGAGGCCGACAGATGGGGGCCGGGCCCAGGGGCCCCCCGTCCCCAGGTCCAGGAGAGAAGCCAGTCTCTCCGGCCCCCTCGGGCGTGCAGAGGTGGCTTTTGGACAAACGACTGTCCCCCGCGGGGGTGGCTGCGGAACTGCCTGGCGTGGAAACACAAACAGGCCACAGGTGTAGGTAACTTCCCGCCTGACAGACGTGCCGGCCGGGACGGGGTGGGCTGGCCCGCGGGGCTCGGGTTTGTGAGGTGATGTCTGGGAGGCCGGCTCCCGCCACCCCCCGGGGCCGGGGAGACGGGCTTCATGGGCGGGCTGACCTCCCTGAGCCTGCCTGTGGGCGCCACCGGCTTCTGCTCACGGTCCCCACACAGACCCGCCCTCCCACGCGAGGACCCGGGCCGGGCTGAGGCCGGGCGAGGGCTCAGGGGACAGAGACCGGCACGCACGTGGGCTCCCAGGAATCAATAAGTGGAGGTGCTTGTTATTGGTGATTGTCATCAGAACAGCTTGATTTAGGGACTCCGCGGCGGGGCTGGCCCTGGGGCAGGGGGGCTGGGGCCAGGACAGAGTGTCCCCGGCCTCCAAGTGGGCCTGCTGGGAGCCGGCCGGGGACAGAAGTGTGAGAGCAGTACCGAGAGTGAACCGATGGAGTGGGGAGGGCAGGAGGCCCGTGGTGGGCAGAACCGCTCTGGCGGGGACCGGGCCGGCACTCTCGGTGCAGAGGGAAGGGCAGGTGGCAGGACTGAGGCCCAGGGCACTGCAGGCCGGTGACCGGCCGCCTGAGGCCCGGGAGGAGGAGGCGTCGCTCGGCCCCAGCAGGAACGCAGGAAGTGGGTTCTCCAGAAGTGCTGGGCACAGAGGGCTCCCCAAGTCCCTGGGACCCTCGGAATCCGAGGGCAGAGTCGCTCCTGGACACTCGGGGCCGGGAAGGACAGCAGGATGCGCCAGGCACGAGACCAGGCGGTGGGGGCTTGGAGCCGGGGTCGGGGGTCAAGGTCAGATACAGGCGCAGCACAGAGTGGAGCAGTCCAGCTTGGCCGGGGGCCCCGGGCTCCCCGCCTTCTTGTTGACCTTGGGCAGCAGCAGGATGAAGGACATGGCCAGGGCGCAGTGTAGAAGCTGTGGACATAGGTGTAGTCCCAGTCCTGCGGGGGGAGGGCTGTCAGTGCGCCTCTGCCCTGTCCCCGGAGCTCCCTCCTCTCCAGGCCCCTCCCCCGCAGGCTCCGCGCCCCTACTGTGTGCCTGGCCCCTGCCACCCACATAGGCTCCTCCCTGACCCCTCAAGAGTCCCCGGGACTCTGGCTCCCTGTCCTCCCCTCACTGTACGGCCCACGCTGGTCTTTCCTGCCACCAAACCCCAGAGCATTGACGGTCTGAGCCATGAGCCATTGCTGGGCCTTTGACATTGAAGCTGAGGCTCTTCCTCCCTCTCTCCCTCCCTCCCTCCCTCTCCCCTCCCCCCAGGCCGCCTCCCGCTCATCTCAGAGGCCAGCTCTGCACGATGCCAGTGGTGCCAGGGATGTGGGAGGCACCCGGCACCTGCCTGGGAGGGTGGCCCTGTGAAGTGGGCTCCTGCGGACCCCCCCCTGCCCCCCCTCCCCCGCCGCCCGGGTACCTCGAAGAAGAAGCGCAGCATCAGGGCCAGGGCCCCGAAGCAGAGGCCGGGGCCTATCTGCTGGGTGTAGACGCTCCTGTCGGGGTACAGCCCCTTCTTCTCCTTCATCTGCTGCAGCTGCGGGGACAGCGGCCACGGGAGGCTCTTAGGTCGCAGTGTCCGCCCGGCAGTGGCCGCCCTGAGCCCCGGGGAGAGCTGGCCCCGGGCGCTCGCACCCCGTCATCCTTGGGGAGACGCCCCGACATGTATCCCACTCGGCAGCTGCAGACCCTGCAGGAGCCCACAGCCCAGGGACACACGAGGACCCCTGCCTCCCACCCTGCCTACCTGTTTGAGATGCAGCCAGCCCCTGCATGGCTCCCTCTCCCTGTCCCAGCCAGCGGGGAGCCCCGAGGGGAAGGACACCCCAACCGTTCACAGCGGGGGGTGGGGTGGGGACCGGAGCACCCGGCCTGCCCGCCAGTGTGGCTCCGGGCGCCTGTGATGGGCCGTGACCGCCTTTGCTGCTTCCATAGTCAACGGACACGCAGTCCTATTTGTTAGACAAACTTGACCGCACGTTAAACCTGGGCCTTCTCGGGACCGTGCCTGGGAGAAGCCCCGGCGGCATTTACACGGAAAGATGGGCTCACGCCCCCAAATGGTGAGATAATGGAGGTCCACGCCCCGGAAACCCGCCCTGGGCCGGGTGTCTCAGAGCACAGACGTTTTGGGTGGAAGTGAGACACGCGGCTGCACCCCTCGTGGGAGCCCCGGGGGCCAGGCAGCACCCCCAGAGCACGGTCCCCCGCGTGGCGCCACCAAGCCCATGAGTAACTTGGCGCTGGCTCAGGGCAGTTTTTGTCCAAGTCCAGTTTGGTGAAACGAAGCCCAGTTTCAGTTTTCTAGAATTTGCCGTAGCCCGTGAGGAATTGGGACCTGCCATAGTGCCGGCAGCACGTGGGGCAGCCACTGTGACCCTGGGTGCGGTGCCCGCGGCCCGGGAGCCCTCCTCAGCCAATCCTGCCCCGGCCCTGGGTCCTGCCTGCCCAGCCCTTTCCAGCCCCCGGTCACACACCTCTCTCTACGTCCTCTCCCCGCGGGCTGCTGCTCCCCAACCCTGCTCCAGGAGGGATGAGTGGCCTGGCCGGCATGGCTCCTGGTTAAGCATCGACTCAGTAACCAAGAGGTCACCGGTTCAATTCCCGGTCAGGGCACAGGCCCAGGTTGTGGGCTCCGTCCCCAGTAAGGGGCGTGCAGGAGGCAGCCGGTCAATGATGCTCCTCTCTCATCATTGATGTTTCTATCTCTTTGCTCCCTCTCGCTTCCTCTTTCTCTAAAAAATCAATTCAAATAATTTTTTAAAAAAGGAATAATAATAAAAAAAGAAGTAGGGATGAGCGTCCGGGAGAAAAATCCCCCCTCCTTCCTGGAAACACTGCCCTTGAAAATCCAAAATAAACTCCACGTTACATGGTCTAGAAAACACGCTGAGCCCCGGATGCGGGCGGCCGGGCACCCGCTCCGTCCCGAGGCCGGGCCCACCGCCCGAGGCCCTTCGTGGGGATGTGAGCAAGGACGGCTCCGGGCTGGTCAGCGAGCCGCAGCTCCGGGCCCTGCGGGAGCTGTGGGAGAGCGGCCCCGCCCTGGACAGGCAGGAGCCTGTGTTTCTGCATTCCAGCCGGTCCCGAGCGCTCCTGCCGCGGGCGGACACGCGGACCCAGCACACTTCCTCTCCCGCACAGGCCGCTTGGGGGCCTCCTGGGTCAGCCCAGGGCCGGCTGTGCTCCCGCAGTGTGGAGTGGGGAATCTCTCTTCTCTCCTCTCGCTGGAAAGTCAAGGCCTGGCCGGGGCCGCCCTGCCGTGCCCTGTTCCCTCACTGGTTTCTCGGTACCTTATTTCTTCATTAACCAAATGGCTAAATAGAGCCTCTACGCCAGGGGTGGAGAGGAGCAGGTGTTTGGAGAGCTGGCCACCAGGCCTTGATTTACCTTTCTGAGTCTGTAAAACGGGTTGTGGGCACCGTCTGCACCCCCTGCCCAGCCCGAGCCCTGTTCCCGGAGTGCCGCCCTCCGCGTGCCGGGCCTGCGCTCTGCTCCCCGCAGGGCTCAGCCCCTTCCCTGCTCTGGGGACCCAGGAACCCAGGATGCTGCAGAGCCCTCTTTAGCGTGGGCCAGGGGAGGACGCTTTGGTTCTTGCAGCCAGGAGGGCCTTGGGACCACGGAGGGTCCAGGGAGGCCCGGGGACCATGTGTGAAGGGCCTCGTGGGTGTCAGACCTCCGGGTGCCCAGTGAAAGGCCGTCGGTGTCGGAAACTCAGGCTGCCTCTGTACTCACGAGCAATTCCATCCTCCTGTCAACCTCACACCACATCCTCCCTTCGCATTAGAACCAAGCTGGAGGCCCACCTCCTCCAGGAAGCCTGCCCAGATTCACCCAGGCCACATCTTCAATGGGTACTGCATCTCCAAAGCACCGACTTTCTTGGAGAATAAGAGTAAATAGTCCCTATTTTCGGAGCCATTCGAAGCCAGCTCTGTGCCGGGACTTAAGAGGCGTCGTCTCTGAACCAGCCCTGTGAGGTGGGTACTGGACTGTTGCTGTAACGCCCACTTGACAGATATGGAAACTGAGGCAGAGAGGTTCAGTAACTTGGTTTAGGTCCCGAACTAGTGAGTCCCAGACACGATACAAACCGGATCTGTGTGGCCGGGGCACCGGAGGGCCATGTTCTATGAGTTTTAGCCAAAGCTGTGCCCAGCCCGCCCGCCCATGGTGGGGGGAGGTGAGAGGAGACAGTCAGGGAAGGGGCCCCGTCTGCTGAGGGTCGCACGGTACGCACCCACTTAGCCGCGATGATGAGGACCGCTGTGCCGATGGGGCCCGAGTACACCCCGTAGCCCCAGCGGTCGTGGTAGACGCGGACGGCAATGGTGAGGACCCCGAACATCACGAAGGTAGACCGCTTGGGTTCGTCAAAGTCGGCCAGTGCTAGAGGGGCCGGGAGAGAGAGCGGGGCAGCTGAGCGGCCCCCCGGCCCCCCTGGCCACTGCTCTCCCCGGGGCACCCCTGCGGCCCGGGTGTGGGTGGTACTCCCTCGGCCAGCGAGACCCTGGGCCCAGCCCGGTCACACAGGGTCCGGCTCCAGCCGTTGCCGGGGACCCAGGAGGACAGAGACCTGGGGAGCCCGCGGGGTGGGGCCCGCCCGACATGGTCTGAGAGACGGTACGTGATGGACAGTGTGCTCTGGAGGGAGCCCGTCTTCCCGCAACCCGCGACGAACTGTGGGTGTGAAGCGGTCTTGGGGGCAGAGCCTGG